GCCGGGACCTGCGGCGATGCGAGTACCTGCGGTGACGGAGGGGCCTGCGGCGATGCGAGTACCTGCGGTGACGCCGGGACCTGCGGCGATGCGAGTACCTGCGGTGACGGAGGGGCCTGCGGCGATGCGAGTACCTGCGGTGACGCCGGGACCTGTGGAGACGCCGGGACCTGCGGAGGGACCTGCAGTATCTGTGGTCACGTCGGCAGCTGCGGGGCCATTTGTAGTGATGCCCGGAGCAGAGGAGGCGCCTGTGTCCCAATGGCAGCATGTTCAGGTACAACAGCTTCCTTTCATGGAGCAGCAGCCTGGGTTTTCCCAGGAACTTATAGCACAGTCCTTTGTACCACGATGGCACAAGGTCCCACAGCCACAGTACCTGGGGCTGCAAGATCAGGTGGTGAAACCGCAGCCCTGGGATCCGGTTTCTCATAGACAGCTGCAGCCCAGCATGTGGACTCGGGCTGAACAGCCCCAGAGGCCCAAATCTGACCAGAAGGTCCTGAGGCTACAAAGCAACCCTACTGCTGAAAAACATCTGCAGAGACCTGAAGCTGAAGTGCAGCCTGTCCTGGCAGAGTGCCAGGAGAGATCCGTCCTGGTGGCGGTGCGGAGGGACTCGCTGGGCTTTGGCCAGCTGATCCAGCCCACTGAGGTGCACTTGGGAGGCTGTGCTCCGAAGGGGCAGGATGCTTCTGCTCAGCTGCTGCTGTTCGAGTCGGAGCTGCACGGCTGTGGCAGCACCCTGACGGTAGGGAGCCTGGCGCTACGGGGTTAGCTTAGCATTTACTAGCTGTAACAACCGATTATGTAGTAACTCCGCAAAACAAAACACATGTTCATTAGCTAAGTTTACATTTTCAGGGGTGTTTTTACCAGCTATTCTGTCACAGACGCCAGAAGTCACCCAAAAGTATCCCAAAGATGTGCTGATGCCCTTTTTAGGATGATCGATTGGTTAATGTTGTGATATGAAATTATAATGTAGGCTATAAATTTATTTTGTCAAGTTATTGTTAATGTGTTGTTCCACTATTTATGTGGGTATTAATCATAGTAAAATGCCCATCCAACTACAGATGACCAAGGACTTCCTTGTGTACACCTTCACCCTGAAGTACGAACCACAAGAAATGCTCTCTGCTCCTATTGTGAGGATGAACAGTGCGACAGTCAGGATTGAGTGCACCTACTTGAGGTGAGGAAATGTCATGTCCGATATATTTAAATATCTGAGATCAGTGCCTGTCGCATGCAAAATCTGGGAGATGACTATCCTAATGTGGGTAATTCTAGGAAACACAAGGTGAGCAGCGGCGCCCTAAAGCCGACCTGGATCCCCTTCTACACGTCGCTGTCTGCGGAGCAGCTCTTTGTCTTTTCCCTGAGGTTCATGAATGGTAGGTGAGACGTTTGTAGAAAGCCTTGTGGCCTTGTATTTCATTGTATTCTTTTCTAGATGACTGGCTGTCGGAGAAGTCTTCCAAAGTCTATGTGCTGGGAGATGTCATGAACATCGAAGTCTCGGTCTCCTCAGCCAACCACGTACCTCTCCGCGTCTTTGTGGACAGCTGCGTGGCGACCTCAGCTCCAGATGTTAACACCGCTCCCAGATATACCTTCATCCAGAACCATGGGTGAGTGTGGTGGCCCCCCGGGGGGGTGGGCTGGTGGTAGCTGCCGGCCGGGGGGGTGGGCTGGTGGCGGCTGCCGGCCGGGGGGGTCAGCTGGTGGCGGCTGCCGGCCGGGGGGGTCAGCTGGTGGCGGCGGCCCTCTGGGCTCCAGCTGTAACATGCTGCTGCTTCCCCTTCAGCTGTCTGACTGACGCCAAGATGACAGCCTCGCGCTCCAGGTTCCTGCCCAGAACCCAAGACGATAAGCTGCACATGCAGCTGGATGCTTTCAGGTTCTCTCAGGCCCCCCACAGCTCAGTGAGTAAAAACCGGCCTGTTGGTTGGTCCGCGCC